TTGCAACTCAAACTGAATATTCACCAGCACTATTCACCAGCAATGAACCAAGCTAAAAATGGAACTTTGAGAGAAACCGGTTTGTAAACGTCTAAAAGCTGTACTCTTCGGTGGAAGAGTGAATCTTAAGGAAGAAGACAAGTCCTTCATTCTCTTATTTAACAAATAGTTATAGAATATTTGAGACACGCCAAGCACTGCATTAGGTGTGGGGGAACAGGATTCATGTAGTCCCTGCACTAGGTAGTCTACCCTCTAATGGGTGAAACAGGCAATAAAAACCAAATATATTAACAAAAGTAACTCAGTTGGGAAAGGTGCAATTAAGGATATGAAACTGATGAGAGAATATGAAGATGGGTGCTTACTTTAGAGAGGATGGCTAAGACGGTCTCTAGGAGGAGGTGATATTTAGGTGAGGCCAGGAGGATAACAAGGAGACAGCTGTGGGAACAGCCAGGGAAAGAATCACGGGACCAGCCAATGCAAAGGCCCTGAGGTACGTGGAAGCTTTTGTGAATTGAAGCTCTGAACTTCTTTCACGCACACACTGACTGGATGCCTCCCCCTGTGTGCTTCCAGCTGCTTTTCTGACTCAGTGTTCAGTATGTGTGAGGCTTGCATTTGGGGTCCTGGATGGCTATGCCCTTTTATCTATCAACTTAAAAACATGCTGGGATAGCCCTCCCTCTTCCACACATCTTCCCAGCCTATATCGTGCTCACTGTAACTTCCTCATTCGATCAAGACTGCCCTTGACATTTATATCATTTTGATTTCTTTGCCTACTTTTTTCCTCAGGTCTTGAGAGATTAGCAGCCGACATACGGTAGACACTCAAAAATTATTTGTTGAATTTTTGGACAAATTTCATTAGATCATCGAATACCTGATTTTTTTTTTTTTTCGGTTTGTTTGTGGTTTTCTCTGCTTATTTATTTTAACATGGCCAGGATTGGGGGAGAGCAAACTGAATGAAATTTGAAGGAGAATGGTATGGCATTCTGGACTGGCACTCAGTTATTGGAGGGCTACTTCTGGCTCTGTAGCTCATTAGTGATGTGACCTTGGACAAGACATCCCACTGGAGCCTTGACATCTTCAACTAAAATGAAGAGTTTGGTCCAAGTACCCTTCAATGTCTGTTCTTTTCTATGACTCACTGGGTTTCAATATTTGTCACTTCTTCCACACTCTGATGTAAGAAATGTTGTCTTTAGGCACCAAGTCAGCTTATGTAATAATGATACCTTACATCTGGTCGGAATTTGTCACTTTCAGTCCTTTCACCTCCACTATCTCATTTGATTTTAACCAGTCACATAAAGTATTGAAGACAATTTAATTATTTTACATCTCACAAAATGTTAAACTTGCCCAAGGTCATAATTCAGTAGAAAAGGGAATGACACTTGTACTACTGTCCTGACTATATGTGAACACTTAATTGAATAGGATCTCTACCATGTAGGAGTGGAACAAAATTTTTAACCACTTGAGTATGGTCACTGATTATTTTTATTTTTATTTTTAATATTAAGGATTGTTTTGAAATGTTGAAATCTAAAGCATCTTTTTTTCTAGTTAAACACCTTAGTTTTAAGGATCAGAAAAGTACTCAGGTTAGCTCATTTAGACAAGGAGAGCACAGAAGGAATCAGCTACCTGATGGACAAGAGGCAAGGTGGTCCTTACAGTAATTGGAAAAGTATCCATAGCCCTAGCTTGGTAGCTCAGTTGGTTAGAACATCATCCTGATATATCAAGGTTGCAAGTTTGATCCCTGGTCAGGGCATATATAAGAAGCAACTATGAATGCATAAATAGGTAGAACAACAAATTGATGCTTCTCTCTCTCTCTCCCTACCTCCCTCTCTAAAAATAAAAAATAAAAATAAATTAAAAGTATCCCTAAATTGTCTGCTTTCCTGGGAACTTCCAAAACCATTCTGTTTTATCTGAAGAGCAGTGTCCTCTGCTTATTCATGGTTCTTGTTTCTCCATAACCATGGGTCTCACATGGATTGGCTTCCTGACACCAGCTCTGGCCAGATGACTCCAACATGCCAGATCCATCACTCAACACAGACTGTATTAGTTCCTGTGGTTCAATCAGCTGGGCCTTGGTGGGGCTGGGACTCATGTGGCACCCGCATCAAGTTCTACCTGTATATCAGGATTTATGGACAGGTTTCCAGGGAAGGGAGTCTATAGGTGGAGCAGGTACCCCCAAACATATCTACTGCATTTTCCTTTTTATATCTAAGTTTCGCAGGATTCCATTAACTTTTTTTTCTAGGGTGACTCCAATTTTTACAAGTATACCTATTTTTCTGATAATTCAGGGGGAAAAAAACAATCTAAATTTGCTCCTTGCTTTAAAACAGGAAGGGTAGTTTCATGGTTTTCTGATTGTAGGGTGTAGTTAAAAAAAAAAGGAAAAAGAAAATAGAAAAAAAAAAAAGCACTAGCCATCAATTGGGTGCGTTTAGGTCCTAGACATGATTCTATCCTTGATTTCTGGATAGACCATTTATTTCCCCTTGAAATTC